CTTCTTTTTTTTTAATATAACTGGTCATTAAAAATTGACAAATTGAATCTATTACATTTCATTCTATTAGCGGAAGTTTGAAATCTTATTCAATTATAACTGTATCTAGTAAAAAGTTTTCAAGTGGTTCCTTGGTCGAGCTCGTCTGGCGATTGAAAGCGTAAAACGATAATGGACGTGTCGTGAGTTCGATTCCTGCTCAGGTCAAGCGATTTTTAATAAAAAATAAATAAATGGTGTATAGCGATTTGCGAAACTAATAAACAAATTATTAATAATATAAAATAGTGTGTGGTGAGTTGCGGTTCTGTAAAAAAAATGGGGATGTGGTCTCAATGGAAATATAATCCTGGACGTTTTTTGAATGTCCAGTATTCGACGTCCAAATATATTCCTGAATTGGACGTCATCTGAATGGTCGAAAATGTGCCATTTGTATACTTCACTGGACGTCCATTAGATGTCGAAAGTCCAGAAAACTCGTTTTTGGACGTCTAGACATCCAAAATTGTATATCTAATGGACGTCCAATGGACATGTTTTGTATTGTCTGGGTAATAGCCAGGCCAGGTATTTAACTCTAAATACATGAACCATAAATGACATCTGGTTTAACTTGGCGAGAAAACACTTGTTTCTACAGAAATGAGTGATAAACTTGAAAGTCCTTTTAATATAATATAAATCTAGAAATTCTAAAAATATGTAAGTACTTTTTAAACCTAAAAGCTTTGAAAATATATGCACATTGCAAATATTTAGTTAAACCTCTCAAACTTAATGTCTTTTTAATTGTTACCTACATTTTTTTTGACACCCTTAATTTTATTTACCTTATTTTTAGTTATGGACAAGGTAATTTAATTTAAATATGGGGCCTTTATTACATTTTTAACAATAAATGAACCAAATATTGAAAAAATTTTATAGATAAATTATAAAATAATAAACGTCTTTTACTTTTATAATAAATAATTAATTATTACATAATGAATTATATTTTGGGGCCGAAATTTCAGCATTGCTATTAACCCTAACTACTTCAATGTAATTAAATCACATTGCAATATTTGCGCATGGACTATAACAATAATTTCAGATAATTTGCCAAACTATTTCGCTCAGTGTAGAAAATAAGCATGTTTTCTCAGCGTGCTAAGTTGTGTATCAGTCAAAGTCATACTGTGAAAAAGGTACATCCGATATCAAAGGCACCGACAGCTACTGTCGCTTCTCCTTGATCGGTATTCTCGGGTTATGGGTTCATTAGCTAACAAGAGATTTTAAAAATCGTTCTTGCAACCGGCTGTCTATCTCGAAAATTAATCAGGAGAACTTTGCGTAATACTCTCTCTAATTCACCTACTTACGAGTGAAATTCAACCCCTGAAGCCGACTAAACGACTTGTGTAAGAGAAGAGACGACTATTATTATTTGCCGTGGCGCTCCGGGGCGACTTAATGATGATTGATGGTGAGTGCCATTTGACGTAGAGATAATTAAAACCCGGAAAACTTCACCCACCATCATCGAAATGGTAACGCATGGCGATTTTTATAATCTGGAAGTCATATCAACATAAATTACATTTCTGCTAATAGGGCATCCATCAAATCCTGTAGAGAATAGAATAGAATATACTTTATTTGCTTAAATAAACTCACAGCAGTTTTTAGCATCGTCAAATATCAGAAAACAATAAAATTTATATATACATTACATTTTATATTTATATAGAAAACAATTTGGTGACGTCAACTTGACATTTTAGTTAAGAAATTTTTCGTGTTGCAAAATTACTTAAATCAGCCTCATAAAATTCTTTGATTGAATAAACTGCTAGATAAAATAATAATTCCTTGATCTTTTTCTTGAATTTATATTCATTAAAAAGCTTAAACTGTGGGGGAAGTTTATTATATAGTTTAATAAAGTTGCATATAAAGCTTTTTTCCTACGACCACTTAGGAAAGTGACACATATCACACTATATAGTCCTATGGAAAGTGCCCTATATCACACGCATATGAATAAGAATTTACTTTCCACTGCGGCAGAATTTTTTTTTTATTTTGTTTTTTGTTTTTTAATTTTTTTTTATTTGTTTAGAAATTATGAAAATTGAATAAATACGATTATTGTTGATAATTTTTTTAAATACATTTTAATTATTATAATAATCTGGTTTTACATTTTTTGATGAAATTATTTTGTGGTCATAGGAAAAATATTGTACATCACTTGTGTGAAAAGTGATTTTCCACACTCGAGTGATAGTCGCACTCGGCTTGCGCCTCGTGCGACAATATTTCCCACTCGTGTGAAAAATGTCACTTTCCACACTCGTAATGTAGTATACTATGGGGTCTATTCTGTAACAATTCCTTTATATTTAACGGCCTTTAAAAATATTGGCGGCCTATAAAAATATGTTTGTATTCGTTAATTTACTTCTGTCATTATTTAAACAGATTTCTTTAAGATAGTCCTCTAATGTATTTTAAAGATCCGTTTAAATAATGACAGAAGTAAAGAAGAAAATATTTTTAAAGGCCGTTAAATATAAAGGAATTATTACAGAATAGACCCCTTTATCAGTTAATGTTAGTCGGTGTTGTGGTAATAACAATTGTTCTCTTGACCGAGTGTTGTGCTCATGGGTATCTCCTAGTAGTATAGAATTTATTATATTTGTTTTTACATATACATTCTAATATATAAAGAGATGGGAGTGTCAATATTTTTTGTTCCTTGAATAATGGCCTACATGAGTCTAGATGAGGCCTTTTTGTTATTGCACGTACTGCCGCTTTTTGTAATATGAATATTTTTTGCCAGTCTACAGAATTTCCCCATAGCAGTATCCCATATGACAGGTGGCTATGAAAAAGACCCATATAGGCCGTTCTACAGACTTCGTTTGTAGTGTACCATGATAATTTTCTGAGTAAAAATAGCGTGCTAGATAGTTTTTTTGATACACTCTCTATATGCTGTTTCCAATCAAGTTTATTATCTAATGTTAAACCTAAGAATTTTGTTGATTTAGTTTGCTGAGGTATATCTCTGAGTGTAAACAACATTTTGACTGTTTTGTCAGTATTCAGTAAAAGATTATTACTAGAGAACCATAAGTTAGACAAGGCAAGAGCTCCAGTATCAAGAGTTTCTAGCTCGTCTTTGTCCTTGTTACAGTGATAATAAGTAGTGTCGTCTGCATACTGAACGGAAAAAGTAGGCTTCAGATAGTAAGGTGGGTCATTCACGTATAGTATAAAGAGGGTTGGCCCAAGAATTGAGCCTTGGGGTACTCCAGCTTGAACTTTTTGAGTTTCTGAAGTATTGTTTCCAATTTGTACAACTTGACAACGGTCTTTTAAGGAGGTCCTTTCGCCACACCTCTCGCCTCCAATGTTAAAAAAAAAGTTATTAGATTATGACTAAAATTAATTTTTTTCTAATAGTTGAAGTCCTTATTTATCTAATACTGAACTTTTAACTATACCTTACCTTGCAAATTTTTGAGATTTTTTTTTTAAATGTGAGTATTTGTACAGTGCCTCACGAGAAAGTAAGTCCTCAACAACAATTCTCGAATTATACTATTATTTATTGATTAGATGGAGTAGAAAAAAACTAAAAATAAGGTTTTTGAAATATTTAGGTTTTGTTTTTTACAATAAAATATATAGGTTACCGTGGAATTTATTGAGAAATTAATATTAAAAAAAAATTTCAAGTAACCTAGTTGAAAATTTGTTGTGATTTTTTAATATTAATTTCTCAATAAATTCCACGGTAACCTATATATTTTATTGTAAAAAACAAAACCTAAATATTTTAAAAACCTTATTTTTAGTTTTTTTCTACTCCATCTAATCAATAAATAACAGTAAACTTAATTATAATTCGAAAATTGTTGTTGAAGTCTTACTTTCTCGTAAGACACTGTACAAATACTCACATTTTTAAAAAAATTTTTCTCAAAAATTTGCACGGTAAGGTATAGTTAAAAGTTCACTATTAGATAAATAAGGACTTCAACTATTAGAAAAAAATTAATTTTAGTCATCATCTAATATTTTTTATTTAACATTGGTGGCGAAAGGACCTCCTTAAGTACTGGGTTAGGAGATCAAGACCTTTACCTCTTATACCATAGTATGGGAGTTTATCCAATAGTTTGCTGTGGCTAACACAATCAAATGCCTTTGAGAGGTCACAGAAACTTGCTGAAAGCATCTGTGTATCCTCAAAAGCACTGAAAATATCAGCCACCAGCTTTGTGATAGCATTTATTGTTGAGGACTTTTTTTTGAAACCAAATTGTTGGTCACTCAGAAGATTAAATTTGTTAAGGTATGTAAAAAGTCTATTGTTAAAAGCTTTTTCAATAGGCTTTGATAGTATAGGTACTATTGATATAGGCCTGTAGTTTTCTGGAAGGTTTTCATTAGAGAACCATGCAAATAAATTCACATGGTCTTCTGTAGGATTCGAAGCCGGGTGTGCTCGCAAATGAATGCGAGCGCCTTAAACACCTACACTACCGTTCTGATACATTGTTTGTCCATGAACACTTTTAATTGGGAGGTCAAAAACTGCAACATTTATCAAATTCAGCAGATTCAACCGAAAGCCATTTGTCATAAAGAAAATATGCAGTCCTTTGAAGCATTTATCAGTATTTGTTTCGAAAATATCAAAAAACCATCTTGAGGGCCCAGGGATTCTCCTCAAAGGAATATTGCTTCTTTATGAATGATTTTTGAATCAATGTTTATAGGAACTTTCTGTCTTATTTTCACGTGTATAATACGCTGTTAAAATATTTAATTAAAATATTGGAACACCTTGTATACCATTGTTGATGATTACATAGATATTTTAAGTCTTTAGTGCATTAAAAATAAAATAGTCTGTGTTTTGAAAAAAGTTTCTCGATTTTTCCTACTTACCTAATTAACGGGCTAATAAAAATACTTCGAAAAATACTTACCAAAAAGTTGCTGCAGATAATGGAAATGCATTTTCTCTAGGATTTGGATTTCTGGTCTTCTTAACGCCACCGTCCATAACAAGTTAAAAAAAAATGCAGCCTGTATTTGCTGAAAAGAAAAAGATAGTTCAATCATAATGTTCAATAATTCAATTTGGATTTACCAACTTCGATAATCCATTCATCTGGTATCGCCTAATTTAAATTTTTAAGGTCACAAATATCGTAAATTAATTACCCAACATTTGTGGTCAATAAACTCTATTTTTCAACAATGATTTATTATAGTTTATAATCGATTAAACTTAAGTTTCTATTATGTTACGTGATAAAAATATGTAATTCTTTTTTATTTTGTAAAAATGTTTATTATTTTGTCTCGTTTTTAAAGTTGAAACTTCGGGTCAACGCATACAAGATAAATTGTTATTAAAATCAACAAGATAAAACTGTGATTTTTGTATTTAAGGTTATCGTTTCAACTCTGCTTAGTTACAACTTATGGTGTCTAAATAAAAAATTAATGATAAATAAAGAATTTTAGAGGTAAATCACCTAATTATTATACATTATTTTTAAAAATATGTAGTTAAAATTATGCACGGTTTTTTTAATAATTTAATCTAGTCTTTACTTTAATGGCAATAATATTAGGATATTTAAATTCATGTTTCGATTATGTTTTATTATGTTATGGCTTTGATTAACCTACGAGGAGAGTGTAACTTTCCTACAATTGTTTATCGAAAAATTGTAGTGGTTCAAATAAAATAGCCAACTATAATTTTGACAGACAATCATAAAACACTCTATTATATGAGACACGATGAAGAATAAATGTTAAAAATGTGGGTGTATTGAATTCAGACAAGTGTGCCTCCCATTAAAATATGTCCCTTTAAATCTGGGACACTGTACTCTGTATACTCACACAGAATAGGTAATATACCGACTTTAAACGAAGTTTATGTTAAAGGACAAGTTTAATTTAATTCAGAAACGTGTGTTATTATTACGGTCATAACTAATATCTCTGACTTTGTCGGTCATGGTCTACTTGAGAACAGTGGCGGCTCGTGAGGTACTGCCACTGTGCCATGGCACTACCTTATTTTTGATGCAAAAATATATTTTTTATTTTTAAAACGTCTTATCATATTTTTATTTTATTTTATGCATTTCTTTTTATATTCAAAAATTATTTGAAATGTGGCAAGCTCACGCTGCATAAATCTCCAAGGTCTTGCCGCGTACCAGAGCCATTTCTCAGCTGGCACTAGGGTGAGAAAGAGATTTTACCAGCAGCCTATGTGCGCTACAGAAATGGGGATATTTTACATGTATTTAAACGGTAAAATCAAGGAATGTTTGTGCCAGGCACAGCGCGGATAGCTGTTCAGATAATCGCGGTTTCTCGATAATGTCGATTGTTGACTGAATTAAGCGAATTTCTTTACGCGCTTTTAAGTTTTTCGTTACGTTACGAAGTATTATTAGTGACGTTAATGTATGTCTTTTTGTTTTCGATAAACTTGTTTAAATATATTATTTCCTAGTTTTTAATTTATTGTGACAATGAATAAAATTGGCGTCTTAAAAAAACTCTTTTAGTGGTTTTTCGCTAAAAGAAAAACTACAAATTAAAGAATTAGGCCGGTCAATAAATTTTATAAGGTTTTGTGGAGCTTTTGAGTTAGCTTTAAGGGGTCACGATGAGAAAGATAATTCGAAAAATAGAGGCATATTTAAGGAGCTGGTGAATTTTAGCGCCGAATTAGACAACGACTTAAAGGTTCATATAAAAAGTTCAAAAGCTTTCAAAGGTACCTCAAAAACAACCCAAAATGAACTTCTTGAGTTTATGTTTATCATGAAGAAGTTAGGAGAGAAATAAAAAATTCTTCTTTTGTTGCGTTGATTGCCGATGAAACGACGGACGTTGCTTGTGAATTTCAATTAGTTATAGTTTTCAGATATTTGTATAAAGGATGACCAGTAGAGAGATTTTGGTGGTTTTACATGCTCGATGGACACGACGCCATATCAATCGCTGAATGCATTTTAAATGTTTTACATCCATTATTAAAACATAGTCCAAATAAATTAATTGTTCAAAGCTATGACGGCGCGTCTGTAATGAGTGGTGAAATAAATGGTGTGCAAAAAATTATTAAACAAACATATCCTCTTGCAAATTACGTTCATTGCTATGTACACCGGATGAATTTAGTTATTGTAATGAAGTCAATTTTTCTCAGACAATTTATTTTCAATTTTCATTATTAATCAATTTATTTTCATTTTTCATTATTAATAAATATTAATCGCGGTTGAACTGCTAATTTTCAGATGCGCGAACGCCACTCAAATTCTCGATGCGCGATAGATTTGAACGTAAGTGGGATTTTCGATTGGGAGAGGGACATTTGTTTGAACGATAGCGGAGATGCTATTAAAATTATTAGTTCGATATAAATTTTGATTGCCAGCAGTTCAGTCTAATAAGCCGCAGTAGAAATCTAAACACCGCCGATATTTTTTTTCCGTTTTCAATATTTACGAATCCGTTAGGTAAAAAAACCCTGTTCCGCTTTTTACATTTGAAAGTTGAGACCGTATTTCATTTAAAATAGCAAATTAGTGTGTAGGAATAGGAATATTTTTATAGATAGTGTTTAATTAAAAGAATTAATTTGATTTGAATAGTAAATAATAGGATTTGTTTCTTGGCAAATAATACCGTGTCTTTATTTTTATTTTTATAGATTGGGTTTAGTTAAGATAATTAATTTGATTTAAATAATAATTAATAGGATTTGTTTCTTGGCAAATAATACCGCGTCTTTATTTTTATTTTATAAATAGGGTTTGGTTCAAATAATTAATTTGATTTAATAAATAATAGAATTTGTTTCTTAGTAAATGATACCGTTTCTTTTGTTTTTATAAATAGGGACTAGTTAAAAACATTTGAATTTATTTCTTGACAAATATTTCGTTTCTTTAAAAAGGGATATAATTTGAATTAAATATTAATTGATGGGATTTAATTCTGTAATATAGTAAAACCAGAGGTTTTAGACTTTTGATTGTTAGTCGGTATTAGGAAATTATTCATTTTCTTTTGATAGGTTAAATCGGGATTTAAATTTGATTTTATTGATAAATACTTTTGGTTTAGTAGGTACCGAGTTGTAATTAAGTTAAGAATATTTATAAACGGAGTTTTCGAGGAGACGTTTTCCCTCTTTTAATAATTGGTTTATTTCTTTTACCGTATATTTGAATAATCTTAAATAGCATCCTGTCCTGGTTTGAACGGGCTCGTGATGACGATCAGTTCACCCTTGGAGTAGGTGCTATCCGCGTTATATTTTTTTTTGAGTTAATCTGTAAACCGCAATTTTTAAATAATTTTAAATAGTATCCTGTCCTGTTTGAACGGGCTCGTGATGACGATCAGTTCACTCTTGGAGTAGGTACTATCCGCGTTAGTAAATTTTCTTCCCTCTGGTAATAATTTGTTTTTCTATTTTTTTTTTCGTCAATTTAAATAATTTCAAATAGTATCCTGCCCTGTTTGAACGGGCTCGTGATGACGATCAGTTCACTCTTGGAGTAGGTACTATCCGCGTTAGTAAATTTTCTTCCTTCCGATAATAATTTGTTTTTTTATTTTTCCGTCAATTTAAATAACTTCAAATAGTATCCTGTCCTGTTTGAACGGGCTCGTGATGACGATCAGTTCACTCTTGGAGTAGGTACTATCCGCGTTAGTAAATTTTCTTCCCTCCGATAATAATTTACTTTTTTTTTTTCCGACAATTTAAATAATTTTAAATAGTGTCCTGTCCTTGTCTGAACGGGCTCGTGATGACGATCAGTTCATTCTTGGACTAGGGGCTATCCGTGTTAGATTTCTTTTTCCCCTTTATGTTCTTCATTTTTTTTTCGTGCAAACTACAATTTGCAGGATTTAAAAATAGCTTCATTACCCTGTCTGGAGCGGGCTCGTGATGACGATCAGCTCATTCTGGGATAATAGGCTACCCCGGGTATAAATTTATTTTTATTTTCTTTCCGTGTATTTACTATAAGTAATTATTTCGCGTCCCTGTCTCCTCGCACTCTCTTCCACCGTTTATTTAATTTTTTCTCACGTAAAGTGCAAAATAACTACATTTGAGTTTAAATTCCCGATACCGCGGTTAAACAGTTATCTAACGAGTAAAAAAAGCCAAGTTAATATTTTTTTTTTCTGCGACCGAAACATATATTTTATTTTGATTTAATTTTTGACGTCTGATTGAGACTAGTCGCGAATTAATACCGTCCGTTTTTTTTATATATATATTCAGGGTTATATTGACTTTCACCACAACTGGGGTGGGCGTTGAAATATTAAATCTTTTCTTTTTATTGTAAATAGTTAACTTCAATATATGTGTCAATGTTAATCTCTGCCGTATTACTGGTTAATAATTCCCTAGTTTATTTCCCCCTTATATTTTCAGCTAGTGATAAATTCTGTACGAGCCCAAGCAACGATTAAAGCCCGTTACTTGTGGCCTACTATTACCTGTGTCTAAGTGACCTTTGACCCCTGGAATTTTTCATCTCCATCTGTAGCTATCCGAGTACTTTCGACGCCGTTTCGAAAGTTTGTGGAGTAAACCATTATCAAAAATCTGGCGCTCGAGAACCGCCCGTAACCAGCGTCATTCGTAAGGAACCGTTTTCTCTGTGACAAGTGCATGTTCTGTCAATAAGCAGGCTAGAATATTTTTTTCTAATTTATCTGGTCTGTGCTTTCTTTTTCACGTCTCCTCAAAAAACAAAAATTTTGGATGAGGTAGTTAATCGCAGGTTGCCAAGATCTTCCCAAACACATTGGAATTTTGAATCGCGAGGTGTTCATACTGTTTATGAGAATAGAAAAGACCTCATTACAGTTGTGGACATTATAGAAAGTATTTCACGCGATTCGTCGTCTATTAATCAAGCAAGTGGGTACAAATTAAAACTTCAGGATAAAAATTTTATAATATTGTTAAGTATTTTTCATCAAATAATGCCTCACGTGGATATTATTTTTGACCAATTACAAAA